GCAACCAGGCTGGCAGGGGGGTTAGTGAGGGACAACCAAACAACTGAACAGCAGGCTGCGAGGGGAGACTAGGCTGGCAGGGGGGGCAGTTGGGAATGACCTGGCTGGCACGGGGGGCTGTTAGGGGTGATCAGGCCAGCACGCAGAGGCAATGAGGGGCGATCAGGAGGTATTATATTAAAGAGGCTTGATGACCACTAATCTAGCATTCCTTATCTGTGCAATGAGCATATTAATACCTCTGAATATTGCCGCAAGACTTAAATGAGGTTATGAGTGCAAAGTAGCCATATAGAATCTGACAAAAATGATGCACTCAGCAAATGGAAACTAATTATTATTACACTAGAGGCCCAGTGCACGGATTTGTGTACCAGTGGGGTCCCTTGGTGTGACCTGCAGGGATCGGGCTGAAACTGCCACTTGGTAGGCTTGCTGCCGCTCTGCTGCGGTCTCCAGGCTGCGGCGACCAGTCATGAGCCCTGCGTCTGGCGCCCGCCGGTCAGCTGAGTGGTACTCCTACTGTGGGAGCACACTGACCACCAGGGGGCAGCTCCTATGTTGAGCATCTGCCCTCTGGTGGTTAGTGCACATCATAGCGACCCATCGACCGGTCATTTGGTTGCTTAGACTTTTATATATATAGAAGACAGATTCCTACATACGTAGCCACATCTAGATTCTAATTATCACCTAACAGGATCCTGTCTTTTTTATAGAAAAGTCCAGAAATTATTTTCCAGATAGAGATATGAAACTACCAAATAAACAATTCTTTTAAGATAAATAGGGTATACTTCCTAAAACCAAAACCCAAATTTTTGAAATACAAATATTAGAAATGTAAAATTTTAGGTCCAGCTCAATAGCAAATGTATAATATAGTCATGGCAAATTAATTTTGTGGTTAAACTTTAATATACTGAAAATAGGCAATTCATAAATCCTACCTCCTGGGGTTCTGAGTAATTTATAGAATCCTGGTGAAGGAGCCAACTATAGCTACATACATATAGCAGATTATGTAAATATAATTCTTACCAAAAGTTATTTACTTACAAATACTATGTTTACATAGTCATCTTCCATAAGTGAACTACTAAAGAATATTTTATTTAGTCAAATTATTAAATTGGCATATATTTACAAGTAATAGACCCCAAGGGGGATTCAATTTACCCATGAAAGTTTAAATAAGTTTCTGAGAGAAATTTTAGTTCTCATCAAGTCTTAAATCTACTCTGAGCACATACTGGGTCTCATTACAACACTACCATTATCAGTTGATCTGGACGTTTCAAAACAAACTACTATAACAAGCATAAGACTGAATTCATCAACGATATAACCAGAAAATTTAATGAACATTTTGGTCTTTTAAAACCAAACTAATTCCCAAATTGAAAAATTGTAAGGCTGGGCCAGAAAATCACTCATTGCCTGGCCTGTGTGGCTCGGTAGGAGTGTCGTTCCTTGCACCTGAAGGTCACAGGTTTGATTCCCAGTCAGGGCACATACTAGGCTGAAGGGCATATACAGGAGGCAAAGGATCACTGTTTCTCTCTCACATCTATGTTTCTCTCTCTTTCACTCTCCCTTCCTCTCTCTCTAAAAAATCAATAAACATCCCCGGGCGAGGATAAAAAAATAAAGTGAAAATCGGTAAATTAAATATCCAACTCAAGAAGTGAAGAGTACAATCAATCATATACACACAAAACTTAAGGAAAGCTGAAGGAGTGTATTATGAAAAATTAAGGTAAATATGATAAGTTATATGAGAGACAAATGAGTAAAAGAGGTAAATCACTAGTTAGCCTTATTGAGAAAATTATTAAAATCTGAAACTAAACAGGCTATACTTACCTCACAGAGAGAAAGGTGTTTTATTTCTTGCTTTACATTTTATAAAACACACTGTACAATTCTTTGCTAATAAATTTGAAAATATGAAGGACACTGACAATGTTCTTTGAAAAATAATTACCAAACTTTTTCAAGAACTGACAGCATATAAAGACCTGGAACTCTCAAATGAAATTAGAAAGTTATCAAAGAACTAACCCTCAAAAAAAGTTCCAGAACAAAAAGACTGAGAATGGTTATTCCAGGTTAAAGAAAACCAAAAGATATTACATCAAAGTGTAATGTGTGATTGTGCACTGGCTTATATATATTTGTGTGTGTGTGTGTGTGTGTGTGTGTGTGAAGAGAATTTGCATGTGCATACACAGAGAGGAGAAAAATTTATAAAACAATGCGGCTAATGCTAACAGTGGTTGGTCATTTACATATATCTGGAAGTTCATTGTACTCTTTTCAAATTTTCTGTAAGTTTACAAAGAAGAAAACTTCCTATTTTTCACAAACCTACCATAATACTGATATAAAAACTGACAAAGATAGCACTAAAAAAACCCTATAATCTAAATACACTCATTAATTCAGGTGCAAATAACCCTAAGTAAAACATAAGCATTTTTTACAAATCACCAAGTACGATACATTTCAGGAATTTAACCCCGAGCCAATCTATTAATGTCATTTTTTAAAAAGTTCGAAGTAGAAAAAAATCACATCATCTCTTTGTATGCTAAAAGGGATCTGATAAAATTCATTCCATAATATGATAACACATATTTCAAGCCAAACAGGGAGCACAGTGATTAGAACAATTTCCAGAAAACAAGGATACATGCTCTTATCCCTATTATTTAACAATGTCTAGAAATAGTGATCAAAGTATTATTTACAGATAATGAATATATGATGGCAAACTCAAAATCTAAAACATTATTAGGAATAAAGAAAGTTCAATAAGATTAGAAATAATAATTGCTTAGAAAAAACAAATATATCTAAATTAACAATTAACAAGAAATGATTCAAGATCTTTAAGAGAGCCTCAGGATAAAGACACTACTTTTTCTTAGATAGTAAAAGTCAATATTGTAAAGATGTTTATTTTCCCCTTATTAATCAGAAATTCAATATAATCACAACTGGGCCTTTACAATTTTTCTTTTAAAAATGTATTCTTATTGATTTCAGAGAGGAAGGGAGAGGGAGAGATTGAAACATCAATGATGAGAGAGAATCATTGATGGGCTGCCTCCTGCATGTCCCCTTATTAGGATCGGGCCCGCAACCTGGGCATGTGCCCTTGACCGGAATTGAACCCAGGACCCTTCAGGCCACAGGCTGACGCTCTATCCAGAGCCAAACCAGCTATGGCACAACTGGGTCTTTTTGTTCCCAGACCTTGATTCCAAAATTCATATGAAAGAATAAATGTTTGAGAATAGCCAAAAGAGTCTTAAAAACATGAGAATTTACCATACCTAATATTAAAACAATTTAAGAGGGAATTGATCAGTGGAATAGAATTTACAGTCCAGAAAGACAGCTATGAAAACAAAAATTCAATAAATAGTATTAGAACAGCTGTCATATCCTCTTGCCCTCCTGTGGAGTAGCTGAATTCCTATCACACATCTTAAAATAAATACCAGATAATTAAAGATTTAAGTTTGAAACACTAATAATAAAATGATGCAACTACATGTAGGCAAATGTTTCTATAATCTTATGATAGAAAAGGATTTTATTTAAATATAAGTATGACATCAATAGCAAAAAGGGAAAGACTGACTGCAAAGGAATAAAATGTGACTCCAGAGAATAAAATCTCTACACTATAAAGCTCAGAAACTTGAATGGCAAATATTTTTAAATAAGTATTTGCAGTGTATGTAATCAAATTAATATTCCTAATAGACAAAAGGCTCCTATAAGACAACAAAATGAACAATTTAAAGGAAAAGAAATGGACAAAGAACATGAACAAACAATTCAAATGGCCAATAAATATATGGACCACCAATTTCATTAGCCATTAAACACAAATTTGTTTTTACATATTACTTTATCAAGAGTAAAAACTTACAATGCCTACTAATGGCAAAGAAGCAAATATATATCCTTTTCGTACGTAGGAGAGCAAACTGGTACTTTTCTGAAGGATATGTATGATATACATTAATTTTAAATGTTGACTTTCATACAAATATTATGTATTTACATTTTGAAGTGCTTCTCTGTTTCAAATGTATTTTTAAAGTATTTTAACTATAACACAGAACATTAAGAGACCAAGTCACCTTTGCTAAAGATAAAGTCTTAAGATACAAAGTAC